TTTACAAAGGTTTAATAAAGCACATCTAACTAACCTGACAGAGGGTTAATTTAAAAAAAAAAAAAAAAAAAAAAAAACAGAAGACTAGTAGAAAATGTTTTTTTTAGTATTATACAGTATATAAAGATTTTATTAAATATTAAATTTATAATCTATATATTAATTTCTTCTATAAGTCATATATTTCTATATTTATATAAATTAATTATAATCTATTGTAATATATTTAATTGGATCAAAAGTTACTTTATAAATATTGTACTCTTATCAATTTTTTATATTAAAAAGTTTTTTTAAAAAATATAATCTAAAAATTAATTCTTATCTAAATTTGTTATAATAATTAAATTAATTTTAAAAAATTAAAAAATTAATAATATATTAAACCTGTAGATCTATAATATAATTGTAGTACTTTCAGGTCACAATTACAAGATCTAAAGTTTAATATCACATGAAAACCAAGTGAAAATTAAGTTACAGGTAGTACAAAGATCCCATTTTCCCTATAATAATAATCAAGTGCCTCAATAAAACTATAATAAAAACTTGTTTGCTTATTATGCCTATAATAAGAACAATAAAAATTAACATAAGGTTCTATATAAAGCTAGTATAAGTGATATAAGTTCTCAATACATAACCAGTTCCTGAGTGCCTAAATAGGAAGTAAATAAGAATTCTATCTACTTATCACAACCATAACAAAACAAAACACAATACAAGGTTCCAAATATAGCTCAAATAAGTGATATTATATCTTGAATATAAACTGATTACTCTTTCTCTCCTAAAACAAAGGATCCAATCACTCATATAAATGATTAGACATATCCATAACAAAATAAGAACCTATAAAAAAGGCACAAGACAAGCTCTAAATGAGACAAAAACTGAGTGATATAATATCTTTGACATAAAACTGAATTCCAATCAAATAATAAAATAGGTCAAAATATAAGATAAGCTATTAAAAAGAAAACTGGGTGATATAATATCCTTGACATAAGACTGAATTTCAATCAAGTAATAAGATAAGTCAAAATATAAGATAAGCTATCAAAAAGAAAACTTTAAACATTAATAGAGTCATATATGATTTTGTATAAGATCCCTCAATACCAGTAGTACTAGATATCTTAGATAAGTTCTTAACACATTAGTTTTCTTAATAGTAATAGTAACAAATTGTCTAATAAGCCATGGTCCTAGGTTTAAAATAGTTGAAATCCCTTCATTAGATTGAATGTATAAATTCATTAGATCTTTTAGCTTAGTTAAAATTGAAAGACAATCCTATATTAGATAATTATATAGTTACTCTATCCTGGTTAGGTGAGATGTAAATAGATGCCTATTGTACTATTCATGATCTGTAAATCCTTAGACAGTATGAATAATTATTTATATCTTGATTATAATAAAGTTTCTGAATTGATACAAAAATAAGTTAGTATTTAAAAATAATAATAATAATAATAATAATAATATATTATAGATTTTTTAATTTAAAAATTTTAATACTTTAAAGTTAAACAAAAAACTTTTTTCACTAATCTTTTATTCATATATAAAAAAGATATTTATAAGAAATTTTTTATTTTTTTGTTAATAAAGTCTTAATAATATTTCTAAATTAACTTAAAGTTTACTTCAAAAATACTTTCAAATCCCATTTCTTGTTTATATTTGTTTTCAAATAAAAACTTGACTTCCTGAGATTTAGAAAAGTCAAGAAATATCTTCTTTATCTATGGTAAAAAAGTTTTATAAGAAAAAAGAACTAATAATATAGTACATAAAATCTTTTGTATTGAAGCATATCTATAAAGATTTTATATAATGAAAGGTAGCAAACATTAAGTCATATTTTCAAAATATCTGCTCATTGTTTCTTTTCTTTTATAATTACTTAAATTTTTTGATTTTTTGAAGAATTTTGTCTACATTAGTTTGACCCTGAATTTTAAGTGATATAATCTATTGCAAAATATAATTGTAACTCTTAAATTTATTTAAGAAACTTAATAAATTTTTAAGCTTGATAAATTAAAATAAAACTGATAATAATCAAATTAGCTTTAAAAGATTTATTAATTTAAAGTGTTAATGTTTTTTTAATAAAGAATATTTTAAATTTTTAAATCTTCTTTTAACTTCAGGACTATTAAGATCAATAGAAATCCAATAATTATTATTTCTAAGAATTTTTAAAATAAGATTAATACTAAAGATTATTTAATATTTCAAGATTATTTTCTTCTTTAATATGCAACTTCATATTTTGATAAGAAAAAAGTGTTTAAAAAAAATAATAATAATAAAATTTATCTAAACTATAAGTAAATAGATTGATGGGTAAGTAAAAAAAATGGATTGATGTGTATGCCGCAAAATTGATCAACGTCCGTATCAGGTATATAATGACCGTAAATAGTTACGTAATACGTGTTTCTCATATTTTTGGATATGCCACCCAGAAAGAAAAGAAATGCTGCTCAATCAAAAAAGCTCGCTGATGACACCGAGTCACAGTCAATAGTTGAAGAGATTGAATTTCCAAAGCTGCCTTGTAAGCAAAAGAAGGTCGAGCAAAATCAGGACAGTGAAACCGTTCTAAATCTCAAAGCAACTCTTGAAAAGGTATATTATTGAGTTTTGTCTGCAAAGCTCATAACATGATTATTATTATTAATTTTTTTATCTAGGCGAATGAACTTCTGGAAGAAGTTAAAGCGAAGTATCGAGAAACTGAAATAAGGAGTAACCGTGAAAATGATATTCGTGACCAAATATTTAAAGAATATCAAGCCAATACAGAAAAACGAGTTCAAGGTAAATTTTAAAAATTTTTGAAACTTAAATTATATACTAATCACCTAATGACCTTTTTGTTTAGGCTATGAAGCGACGGTAGCTCAGTTGAAGGCTCAACTTAATCACGAAAGGGAGAAGAGTAAAAAGATCTCTAAAGAAGAGACGGCAAACTGTCGTGACATTGAATTAGAGACAAAGCTAAAGGAAGAAGGTAAATTTGAATACCTAAATGATTAAACTTTTACGAATTTAACTTTCTAATGTTTTTGGAAATTAGTACGTGTCCTTCAAAAAGAAAAGGAAAGATCTGAGTTAGAGATAAAAAAATTACGCGACCAAGGTTAGAATATTAATTATTCGGTTGATAGTTAATTCATTATCCTAAATAGCTTTCATTTTATTGAAGTGAAAATACTTGAAGCACAACTGAAACAAGGACTACCACAAAACGAGGATTTAAAGAATGCAAATGCACCAGAAATTATGACATTAAAAAAACAATGTACCGAAGAGATTCTTATTCAGAATTCGTGTTTAAATCGTAAAATTCACGTATTAACTAAAAAAAATTTTAAGTAAGAAGGCTTGAACTTGAACTCGGTCAAGAGCGGGAGAATAGCAAAAAACTTAAAGCAAGATCCAGCAAGATCCCCACTGGACAGTTGGATATTAAGCAAATGGAAATGCAGGCGCAAATAAATCTATATCAGGAAATGTCGAATCTCCTTATCCAAAATGTGAAGTTAATTTCACAGAATGAAAGTAGCTTCACGTGCATCCATAGCGGAAGAAATGGATGTAAGTTTCTCTAATTTATTTATTTATCTTTTATCATTTATATACTAAAAAGTCGATTATCGCGATCATTATTTTTTAAAATTTAGCTTTAGTGTTTAAGCTTTCTATAAAAGATGATGAATATATTTATGAACCTTCCATTGACCCCGAAAGAGATGCCTATTTGATAAACATTTTGCCAGACTATTTAAGGGAAGAAATAGTTTTCAAAAAGGAAAAATTAGATTATTTCTTTTGGAGATTATTGCATTTTCTTCACGATGATTTAATAAATGATGCCTAATTGTTTTATTTTGATTTTATCGCCTAATAGTTTTTATTTTGATATATCTCCTAATAGTTTTTATTTTGATTATATCGCCTAATGGTTTTTATTTAATTATATCGCCTAAATTAAAAAATTATTTATGTTAAAAAAAAATTTTTTTTTACTATGCAATATTGCTTTTTTAAAGATACTTTTGATTTATCGCAAAAGAGATTTGAAATAGTCTTTAAAATAAAAAACATAATATGTACAGTATATACAATATATATTGCATATTAAAGTAATATTTTTAATTTTTTTTTTTTTTTAGCCTGCAGTTAGGCCAATATGGCTTGTCCATTTTATTGTAAACATATTTGGTATTTACATATTTTATGACTTTCACATATAGACTCCCCTATCTACAAAGTTTAACCTTCTCTAGATGCAACTTAGGGGATGATATTTTGCTTCCTTTGTGACTTGGATTATTCTTTAGCCACTTAGATTATTGTCTACAGCTCATCACTGTAGATCTCCCGAAATTCTAACTATAATTAAAAACCAAATCATTTAAAACCTTTGGATATTCAACTACTTATTATATCTACTATATTGCCTTAAAACTTTATTTGTTTTGAGTCTTCTTCTTCTAATATATTCCTGGAGGAAAGAATAGAAAAGTGATTGGCTTCCTTAGGGACTTGATCCATTTTTCTAGTTGTATTAACTAATACTCTAAACCTTTTGAGTTTGCTAATAATTTCTTAATTTTGTTCCCATTTGATAGTAATACTATAGTACTTGTTCCAGATTTCTTTCTTGAAAGTCTTCCTTAATTTTTATAAAATTTATCAATAACCTCTTGTGTTGTTGTCACTAGGATCTTGAGGGCTTTGAAATGCTCTTCCAGGATCTTGATCTTATATTTGTATATAAAGTCACAGACTATATTATATAAGCTTTCATCCTATTATTTAATGTCTTGAATCTATTTTTCTATTACTCTTTTAACTTCTGCCTGGCTCTCATTGATAGATTTTTTGATTTTCTGATATACTAAAGAATTTTACTTTAAAATTTATCTAATATAATTGATCTTTCATTTTGGATCTTGGGACATTTAAAGAGATGTTTCAGAATTTCTTCTTGTGATTTACATATTGAGTATATTATATTTAAATATAAGTTTGATTTTCTTTTTTAGATTACTTGGAGGATAGAAAACTCATCATAAATTAGATTTATTAGAAAACTTTTATTCTTGTTAGTGCTAAAGAGGATGTAAAAAGTATTATATAGATTGAATTATCTTCAGAAAATTTATCAATTAATTTCTTTATTAGAATATATCTATCAGTCTTGAATATGTTTTTACTTAGTTCAGGCTAGTTCTATTTTCTTTGTATTCCATTTTTTAAGAAAATCTTTAATACTGATATCAATAATATATTTCTTTCAGGCTACTATTGTGAGAACTTGACCCAAATTAAGTGTTTGTTATCAAATCAAAGGGTTTTCTCTTCTGGCTTGCTTTGATAACCTGTTTGATATATTGTTAAACTTATTGTCTTAATTAGACTTGATCTTTTCAAGTATGAGGCAAAGATTTTTCTTTTGTACTAGGTCCTTGATTCAGTTCTATAGTAACCAGTTAATCATTTTAATATATTTTTTTATAGAAATAAACTTTGTAATTGGATTGTCTTCTATATCTTGATAGTTGTACTACAATCTGTATATATGATTGCTTTTTTATTTTTAGGTATTGTAAAGATTGCAATAAGTATAATTAGAATTTCTGCTCTTGTAACTAATAGTCATAATGTTATCTATATTTAAAATTGATTTGTTATTATATTGCTCTCAATTTGAATCCATGCAAGACCCATTTCAAGTTTATCCTTGCTTTTTATACATTATTTTTAAGATTCATCAGTAAAAAAAGTGAATTGCTTGTATTGCTTTTATAGTTGTATTTAAAATTCTTTATTAGATCTATAATATACTACTCTGATTGTATAGCCTGTTTAATCAGTTTGACTTTTCAATTCTTTATTTGTATCTCAATCTCTTCTGATTCTAATAAATATATAGTACTTGATCCATTTGTTGATACTGTGGGCTACCAATCTGTGGATTTCTGGAAATATAAATATATTTTTTTTTCTAATACTTTCTTGCTTATTTAATTGTATTAATAATTAAGTTTGGGATATGTATAAAATCATTGGTTTTTTGGATATATAAGGATGAAAAGTTGTATTATTTGTGATAGAATTATAAGTGAACTAATATAGTGTAAAAAGTACTTCTTTGTTTTGGATTTTGACTTTTTTTATAGTAGTTTCTATTGTTTTAGTTAAAACTTTCCAATTAATTTTCCATTTATCAGTTTTAGTGATCACTTTTATTATTTGAAATTCATGTTCAATCTATTTTAGAGTTCAATAGAACTGTTTCAGCAAGTCTTGTTATTTTGTCACTTTGCTTTGATTTATATATACCAACTTGGAATAGAACTTTTACAAGTTTTAACAAAAATTTGGACTACTCTCCATTCTCTTATTGTTAGTGTAGTTATATTGATTAACTGATCTAAAAATATTATTTTGTTTCTTTTTAGAAAAGGGATAGCTTTCATATATTCTGTCTTATTATTTATGATTGTCTTGATATATATGATGCCTCTTTGAGTATCAAAGATTTTTTTTTATAAAGTAATATTTTTAAATTGATTATAAATTTATTATAAATTATTTAAACTATTTAAATATATAATAAAAAATTAAAAATTTTAAGTAGAATTAATTTATAATAAATAATTTTTTTTTTTTTTTAATCTGCCGTCAGGCTGATACGGCTTATCTTTATTGTGTATTTAAAATATTATACAATTTCAAAGATTTTCACATGACAGCTCACCCGTCTTAGAA